CGGTCGACCGGTCAATTGACCATTCGTCAGTATTTTTCCAGAGAATCGTCGGTCGACCGGTCCGATCGACCGAGAGCTCAAAACGGTCGACCGACAGAATTTCCGGTCGACCGACAATCAGCTTCCAACGGCTAGTTTTTTGACCGTTGCTGGGGGCTGTTTTGTCTTTCTGCTTGGGGTTTTTGGCTGAGTTATGAGAGAGTATAAATATCCTATTGCCTTCAATTCTCAAGCTAACCAAGAGAGTTTTTAATCAAGTTTAATAAAGTTTTTAACAAGGGTTTTAGTTTGGTTTAAGTGTGTTTAAAAAGCTTTTAAGCAAATTGAGAGTTTGTTTTGGTGAATCAAATTCCACAAGAGCTTGAGGAGATTATCTATTGAAGTTTGAGCTTCCAACTATCATCCCTCCATCTCTTGTTATCAAATTGAGAAGTTTTCTAAACTCAAACTCTAGCTTTACATTTATATACTTGATTGATTATCATTGTTCTTAAGCTAGATTTCATACTTGAGTTTAGTTGATTTGATCTTATTTACTCATTGTTACACACACACCCACATTGAGCTTATTGTATCTTTCATTGCATAGTATAGTTGGGTGGTGAGAGATTGTAACCTTGAGTTGTGCTAAATTGAGTTCTCACCTTGTTAGAGAGAACAATCATTTACTGTATTTGTGCTTTATTGTAAGAATCACTTTGTAATACAGTTGTACACCGAGTGAGGAGTGTGTGGTGAGAGTCGGGGATCGTCCCAAGAGGAGTGGTGTCGGTTGACGTGCCTAGGGAGAGGTTGTAACCGAGCACTTGAGGGAGACACGGCTAGGTCCAACACTTAGTGGGTGTAGAGTGTGATTGCAAGAGTGTGAGTTGTAGAGTTTTCGGTTAGCTAGAAAACCGAGTGTGTAGAAGAAGTTCCGGCTTCCAAACCGGATTGTGTTAGTGGATTTCTCCCCAGGAGTGGGGAGCGGAGACGTAGGACGGAAGGTCCGAACTCCGTAATCATATAGTGTGTTTGAGTGTGCTTTGGCGTTCATTTATATTCATGCTCATATCTTATATCGCCATTGTCATTTACTCTTAGTTCATACTATCCACTATCTTGTTTATCTTATTTATGTTTATATCACCCTTAGTTTCATATCCTTGCATATAACTCATAGTATATCTCATTGCTGGGATATATCCCTTGTTCATATTGTTTATCCTAGCTCACATATCTTGTTGTATTTTATACTTGCTAGGATAACGTATTAATTAGTTTTAATTGGCATTTAAATCGGATTAGATTAGCATAAGACCCTAATCACCCCCCCTCTAGGGTCTAACAATCTTCTTCTTCCTTAATTTTTGAACTCCTTCCAAATAAATAAGGATCTCGCCAAGCTTCTTGTATTGCTATCGAGTAAGTACAATACACAGGTTCCCCCCCTTCATAGGATCTAACCGCTCTGATATCAACTTGATACGAGTCGCTGAATGAGCACCCTTGATCACGGAATTATCAAGAGTGGATTATGAAGAAGACAATAGAAAACACACAAAGAATTGAGTTGGGCGAAGGAAAATATCTTCTTTAGATTATGAGAAATAATAGATTACAAATCCCTCTCTCACAATCTCTCTAGATCAAAGAACAACCTCCCTGATCTCTTTTCTGAATACAATCTCGTTAGAAAATCCTAGAAAAGTCGTGTTTTAATATATATCAAATACAAAACCTGAAGTGAACAGGAAACTAAAAACCAGGCCAGCCCGACTCGCGGTCAACCGTAGAACCCATCGCGATCGACCATGGCAAACGACCGAAACTCAGTATCGACTACAGGGTTTGACGGTCGACCACAGAACCCATCGCGGTCGATCGCGAAAAGTCCAGAGACTTTTCCTGAGTTGTGCACGTTCGCGGTCGACCGCGACATCACGTGCAGCCAAACGCTGGAAGTCTAAAGTGTTTCCTACAGTTTTTCATGTACTCTTCGACATTGCCGTCTTCAACGACTTCGTTCACGTCTCTATTCTCAAGATATCTTGGGAATCATCTATCATCAAGCTCCTATGAGTATCGCTAAGCTCCCGAAACAAGGAAGAAGATAGACCCGTATCACACTAAGTGCAAGCAGTACAATCATGAATGAAAACTATACGTTATACTATACGTTGTACAGCAAATAAGAACGTACACTAAAATATAGTATAATATATCTATGGTGTAAACAATAACTTCTGTAGAGATTCTCCCAGGCTTCGTGCCCGTTGGTCAGGAGATCGAATCCTTGTTGCCACATTCACCTGGTCCCTCTGGCTTTAGGGGGTGGGGGTTTCCTTTAGTCTTAGGGTGGGGATGGAAACCCGGGGTTTACTTGGTCAGTAGCGGCTCGACCCGCTGTCTCTGGTTCGCGTCTCGCCCGGTCCACACACCGCTCGCCCATGTGCTGGGGATGAGCCCCCTGGTACTTAAGGGGTAGCTCCTTGCAAATTGTTGGGGACTGAGGGGATTCGAACCGGGGTGCGGCGGACTCCAAAGGGAGTTTAAGTGGAGGTATTGACCAAGGTTCCCTTGTCAACAAAAAAAAACAATAACTTCTGTAACTTGCATAGTGTGCTTCTTATAACAATTATTTACCAGTGTGAGTTAATCACGGACCCAAAACCTCACCCATACGAGCAAAATAACAAAGTGGGGCCTCCTGGCAAAAAGATAAAACAGTTGAGAAACACCCTCCGAGCAAGATGACAAAATGGGCCCCACTCATGAATGAAAACTTAAAAACTGGCGAGAACCAAAATGCACGAGATTAACTTTGCGAGTGCATCCTGGCATCATTAATTACTATTTACTACCTAACAATTAATATTCCTATAAAAAAAACCTATCAATTAAGTAAATCCGTCATGAGTGCATAACCCCCACCTCAACAATAATGTCTGTTCATTCGTTTAATTAAATTCATATGAATCTATTTGAATTCATAATTCAATTCCTACCATGACCTCCCAAGCAACACCAATTAGGGCATGTTCGTTTGCCCCAAAAAAACGTGGAAAACTGGGAAATGAAAACAAATATTGATGCCACATAGGAACAAGGTTTCGAGTGATTTCCATTTCACCCGTTCGTTTCACAATCTGATTTAGAGAAATGGGGCCTTGAAAACGTGTGCCACGTAGGACTTTGGGAATTTGTGTTTTCAGCTACATTTGGCCTGAAAACAACTCGGAAATGTGTTAAACAGCCATTAAAAAAATCGCTGAGTGTTTTTCAAGGCGGGGGGAGAGAAAACTGGGAAATGTTAGGGTTGAAACGAACAGGGGAAAACCAAGAAATGTGATAAAGGACAATTCATTTCTTTATTGCAAAGAGTTGAAACGAACACAGTAAATGTGACTTTTGATTTCAATCCCTTGATTTCCATGTTGAAACGAACAGAATACTTCAAATCTAAGAAAACACTATGAAATGCCTTGAATTTGTTTTCGTGGTACAATTCTGATTTCTTTTTTTTTTGCGGAAAACAACCGAACAGGCCCTTAATCTATTTCAATTCCTATCATAATTCCCCAAATAAATCAATTAATTATGATTTTAATAGCTCCCATTAACGACACTACCTATTAAGGCAAATACATTCCTCCAACAAACTCATCATCCAACGACACAAGTAAAAAAAAAAAACCTTCTTTTCGACCCATAATCACTGCTAAATAATCTCTGTAGTAATTAAGCTCCCATGCTCTTCTCTTCTAATTCTTTCTCAAATTTAATAGCAATTATATACCTATATACTATTGGTGGACACCAAGTTTAAGATATATTAACAATTATATTAATTTAAAAAAACTCAATAGACATAGCATAATGTGTTAGAAATTGTTCTCGCGTTTTTTCTTTTTCCTTTTTTTTGGAGGAAACGTTCTTGCATATGTCTAGTTTGAATTAAAAGGAAATAGTAAAAATGAGTAGCATTGCAGTCTTATCCTATGTACATGCACAATTCTAAGTTTTGTTCTTACTCTGGTTTCTTAATTTCTTCATCTATTTTAAAGAATCTAAAGGCTTGATCTTGGTCCGTTCATGTTTATCATAGCTAATAGACATGGGTATCTATGCATTATCCTCCGTGTAACTTATATTTTTAGTGCGTGCAGTGCTATATTAACTAAGGTTACATTCAAAATAAATGAACTTACCATTAAGCTTATACCACAACAATACAACTATCTTGAATTCATCTGAAACATTTGTTTTTGTCATGTTGTAAACAAGTTTTAAATTTTGTATAAAAATTTATAAGTTTATAAATAAATTAAATAAACACTGTTTTGAACAAAAGACTTGAACTTAGAATGTATTGTGTGGAACGGCTATTTTGAATGTAACCTTAGTTAATATAGAAGTACATGCACTAAAAATATAAGTTACATGAAGGATGATGCATAGATACCCATGTCAATTAGCTACGAGGAGAAAAAAAAACCGTTATGAGAAGAAATAAATTTCTTGAATAAAAGACTATTGTTTAAATAAGTTTAAAATTTTGTATAAAATTTTATAAGTTTATAAATAAATTAAGTAAACATTGTTTTGAACAGAAGACTTGAACTTAGAATGTATCGCATAGAATGACTACTTTGAACAATTGCTAAAAGGAACAATAAAGGATATTTTAATATAATTTTAGTGTATGAATTTTTATGCTTCTAACTTATGATACATAATTTTAAGGCGTTTAGAAAAGAGAAATTTTGAATTGAATGTAAACAGAGAGAAAGTATTATATGAAGGAAATATTATTTATTTTTTTTACGTGCAACGCAGTTGCTCCACAATAGTTACCATAAAGACACGAACCTATCAAAAGTTCAATTAGAGCAATCAAAAGTTCTCATCTATGCAAACTATGATCAGTTTGAAAGAAAAAGCAGAAAAGTTCATTGCTGAATACTTCATGAGGATGGGAACTATGTATTGAATATGGGGTACTTGGATACTCTAAATAATTTAAATGCAGAATCAACAAATAACTATGTCAAACTCCCATAATATTAGCAAATATACACACATCTAAATGTTTTCATCCGATCACAAACTGTTCAGAGAAATTCATGATCAAGGACTTCAGTGCTTTAAACAATACAATCAAAATACAAATAATATGATTCCCTCCACGCTGCAATATAAAAATAAGCATGAGGGCTCATTAGTTATCAAGAAGCAAGAAGACTACCTTCTCATATGCCTCCAAGGTTGTCACTGCAATAAGTGGAAGGAACAGAACAGATCTCCATTTGCCCTTTCCATTCTTCACCTGGTTTCAAGTTGATCGATCTTTCGATAGACGCGGCGTCAACACACAGCATTTGTTTGTACTCCTCATCACCCAAATCAACCATGGATTTGGACTTCTTCTCCCATGGATTCCAGACAACTGTTAGCAAAAAAGGAAGGTTATATAGATTCGCAGGAAATGCTAGTCCCCACGTGAAAAGAATCTGTTGTTAGAAGTTTTATGATGAGTCATGATAATTGCAAATCTAAACTCTTATGCTTGATTTACTTCTCTACAATACTTCTGAAAGAATATTAGGCACTTCTAGCCAATGCGAAAAAACAATAAAACAATGTCTGATAGATGTGTGGCTTGATCATCTGTCTGTTGCATAGAAGCAGATATAGTCCACACAAATTTCTAGTATATGCTCAACCCTACATCGTTGTGTTCCCATTTATGTACGATCAATTAAGTTTACTAGAGTACACACCTCCACCCGCTCATAAGCGGAGGCTCTGCATCATCAATGAGTGAGGTATGGGGGCAATAAAGTCATATCACCCCATTCATCCATGATGGAGAACCACCTGCTCACATGCTGGTAGATCTGAGGAGATGTGCATTCAAGTTTATGGGCCCATGCCTTTTCTTTAAATAATTAAAAAAAACTGTTGTAAGTCATGTAGACCCAGATCATTCATGATGATTTAAAAAAGAAAATTTGTCTTATAGGAAGCTCATCGAATCATTAGGACATGTTTCAACTTTTAACAGTACATGTTTTAAATACAAATGCTAGATGTTATCTAGCATCTCATGTATTATATTATCAACTGTGTAACATATGAAAAGTTTGTGCCTCAAGTAGCTGAAAGAATAACAAGAATGATATGTTAAGGAAACATTCAAAGATTCCAGTATGATGTATGTTCTTCTGAGTCCTGATGGATGCTAGCAACTGATTGTGATGTAAATAATAAGCTATATTATTATCACCGAGTAACGTGTCAAGCGTTAGTGCCTCAAGTTGCTGCAAGTAAAACATGAATCATATGTTAAGAAAATAACATGACATTCAAATATTCCAGTATGATGTGTATTCTTCTGAGTCCTGGTGGATGCTAGCAGCTGAAAATTTGAAAGGCAGGAAGTACAGAATAACAGATAATCCAGTAATCTGGCATTACAAGTAGAAGAGTACTAGTTCAAATCCTAAAAGCAGGAGAATAGCTTATTATTCAAGTTTTTGGTATTACTAGGTGTCAACAGTTCAGTGACCTAAATTATATATGACATAAATGCCCAGCATGTATGCACTTCAAATGATTATATAATCATGTGTGCAGATAAAAATAAGACTTCGCACTTGCTTCATAAACTTGTTCATCAGTTCCTCTTTAAGGGAGAAAGATACGGTGAACTTTAAGGAAAAATTGAACGAATTATGATTTTGAAAGTTTTAGTGGAAATTTGTATAGTTACAGTAATTGAATACTTATTTCTGCTGGTATCATGACTGCCTCTCACCAATAGAAATGCCTAATTTAAATATTAAAGGTGTTAGATTTATGAGAAGTCTATTTGAAAAATGATAATAAATCAGAATCTGAATCTCCTAACAAGAAAAGAGAAAAAAAATAAACTCCCATCAAAATGAGTTACCTAACAAATAGCCTCAGTAAAAGATATATTGTGAACCCAATCTATATGTAAGCTTACTGGAAAAAGATAAATAGTTAAATTAGACTCCAAAGGAAATAGGTAAAAGGAGAAGATTAATCCCATATTAGAAAAAGTTTGAAATTTGCAGCATATATAAAATATCAGATATCTCTTGTATTTTCATTAAATATGAGAAGGGGACGTGAAAGAACAATAAAAGTAAATTTAGCTATCCAAATTCAGGGAAATTGTTCGATTCTTCGGCAAAATAGGACTTCAATGTGCCTGAGCTTTCCTTTTGAAAAACTGCTCATTTTTTGTCCTTTTTTTGCATTAGTAATCATTTTATAGGATATACATAAGCAAGAAACTTTCAGGAATTATTTATTCATGAAATGTGTGGTCCATAAATAAAATTACAAATCTAGATTTGCCTTATGGGAAAACTTGAAACAAAGAGTATAAACAATTTGAAACAAATAGCATAAACACTATCTTACCAACATCAGGGAGACCTTCCTTTCTTATAACAAATGTGCGTTTCTTTTCATGGTCAAGAACCGCAACAACATTTGGAGAACTAAGATAAACTCGATCTACCTGCAAATCAAAAAAGTTCATATTCATTAGTTGTCAAGGTTTCCAAACAAAATTGTATTAAAATTCAATATAAATAAGAAAGGTGATGATAAGAGTGTAGAACAAACATTATTCTCCATGGTAATAATTTTCATCTAGGTTGTGAAATCAGAAGATACAATTCAAGCAAAGACAAATGTCAATTTTAGAGGGAGGGTTGAGATTTCACTGATCAGACAAACGCAAGTGCTACCAATTTTACTAGAGTAACTGAAACAATAAAATCTCACTAGATTAGAATTAGTACTTTCATAAAGAACAATCACGTTAGGAGGTTTCTGCTAAATGACTGCTTTTATCCTATTATATCTCAGTTATAAGTAAGAGGAAAAATGTATGGTGAAAACAGAAAGAAGAACAATTTAAACCTGCTAGGACAAAGCCTAGAACTGATTTATCAAGGTGAAAAATCTTCTAAGGAAATCGCTATTAAGAGGTTACTCTTGGAATTAAATTGACTTCCGGAAAACCTTTTACCTCATTCTCAAATGTAATGGCATCTCCTTGCTCGGTAAAACGTTCTCGTTCGCAAAGATTGTCCAGATAATCCAATGTCTCTAGTCCCTCAATCCTCACTTCACTGTCGTTGCGAAATTCATATACACAGCAACAAAGTTAGAAAACCGTTTTTTAGAAATAATATATATTAACACTTGGAACCAATTTACAGGTACATACAATGAGAAGGGTAACTATGAAATACTGTTCGTCACTGATTCAAATATGCTAATAAAATATTGTTTATCTGAAAATCCTCAAATGTTAAGATCACTTGCAAACAAATTAGAAAGGAATTTTATGCTTCATTCACGCAAACCCTGTTAGCCAAGGCAATGTGCTAGTGGAGTGGCGGTTCAAACGAATAAGCAGAAAAAATAGGTCTACTATCCACTAAGCTTTTAACACAGCCCACACTTTCTCATAGATGCCATCATAAGGGTTGACTCAAAAGTTTCAAGCATAGCTGACCATGTCCAAAGCTTTTATGACAACTCTTCATGTCCAAAGCTTTTTAACTTTTAAGTGTAGTGCCATTTCTTATTTGGAGCTTTTACGACAACTCTTCATGTCCAAAGCTGACAATGTTTTATGTAAATGCTGGAACGATGAACTAAAAAAGCAAATTCATAAAGCTGTGATCCTCTAAAGTTTTAACTTTTTAAGTTTAGCTAATTCTTATTGAGGATTTATAAAAGCTGGTCATATTTTGTTAGGGTTGGAAAAACCCGTTAAGGAGATGGACTAGACTAATTTACTTGAGCTCAACTGACTGAAAAGGATTAATCCTTTTTGGGTCATGAGTCTAAACATATTTAACCATCCATCTTACCTTTATCCAACCAAACCCTGCTCAAACCAAATGTATGTGAGACACAAAGGTGGCTAATGGGGACAGCGCCTCAAACCACTTCACAGTGCAAATGTGACAGCATGTGCACCTAAGGGAGCTTGAACCCGAACTAGACCAAATTAATGTCACATATACTCCACCTCGATCTCTAACCCATGTAAGAGAATCTCGAAGCAAACAGAGTATCCAACAAAGGCCCATCGAACCGTGGGCTCTGATACTAATTTATTAGGATTGAAAAGGCCCATTAAAGAGACGGGCTACGCTCATCCCGATTGACTGGAGGATTAATCCTTTATGTGTCGTAAGTCCTGTCATATTTAACCACCAACCCATCTTACTCTTTGTTTGATGTGAGACTAAATCTGCCTCATGCTTTTTCCAAACCAAACCCCCAATCTAGACTGACACTCTACAAATTTCTCTAATAGAACAATAGTAAAACAAATTTGTGAAATTGCGGTCCTCCAATTACGAAATAAAAAATTAAACTTCATGGACATTCTTTCATGTCAGTTTCACAATATTTAAGAAGTGATTTCCATCGGCAAGCTGACGAAAATGTTAGCTATCTGCAAAACTCACATGAAATTTTGAAATGTGATTCTTAAAAAACTATTTCCCATAAAAAAACATCTTATAAAGGGTTTATTATTCTAGGGAGATAATACATGTAAAACCTATATATTTAGCTGCAGTTGAGCAGCTAACTGTCACAATATTCTACCCTCACCATAATTTTGTTCAGTTGTGGGGACTTTACGATGGAACCAGAATCGCTCAGTTCAAATTCCCCAGTGCAAATTTATAAAGAGGACCTAAGAAATACCAACACTCAAAATGCGCAGGTTTTGACAGGCTGCCATAAAAAGGCACTTAAGTTAGAATTTTGACAGTGACAGGGACTTTTAGGACTAGTAGAATATCAGTTATAGTTTGCAAGTTCGCATTGAAAAAGATATAAGAATTCATCCATAGACTAGAAGTCATACAATAAGGATATGCTTAGCCATTACCATGGCAAATGACAAGCAGTCAGAAGACACACATTAATTTGAAGCAATGAACAAAAAACATTATCAAGAGCGCAACCAACTGCAAAATAACAACGCACGTTATTTCGAATAGAGGAAAGTGCAGTTACCTGATATCAGAAACAGAGAAGTATGAGTGGTAAGCAAATGAGAAGCCAAATGGCTTTCCATTGATGTTCCTAATACGTGATGTCAGTGTGAGATCTCCGGTCATAGTAAGAGACACTCTAAGGCGAAACTCGAAACTGAAACCAATAGGTTAATATTGTCTTAAGAGTTATGTAATTTAAAAGAAAAACAAGTAAAATGTTAAAATATGGAAACGAGGTCACATACTGGTGTGGCCAGCACTTCATATCATCCTCCGAGGGTTTAAGCAACAGGTCCACAAAAACTTTGTCGTTGTCATTGTGCTGGTGAAGAGGTGGAGGATCATTATCAATGCTCCACATCCTATTCCTTGCAAAGCCATGTTGCTCCAGTGATCCACAGTTCCCAAACTTCAAGGGTATATAATGGGTTAATTGTATGTTGTAGAGGTCAAATAACATAACCATTACAAGTGATTCACAATACCTGTGGAAAGCAGATTTGAATTCCTCCTCGCATTGCCTTTGGTGGCTTGAAGATAGCCTGCATCAAAGATTTACAACTTTATATCATTGAAGAGTCAAAGAGATTCAAACTATTAAGTACTAACAACTAATAAAAATTCAGCAACTTCAAGCAACTTAGGTTCAAATGTACTGTGAAGACATAATTCTTTTTTTTTTTTAAAGGTTATAGTAAATAACATTGTTCCCGTGAAATGTCTAAATAAGCAAAAGAAAGACAAGACCTAGTGATAAAGTAGTTTCCTTAGAAGCTGCTGACATATTTCCATAAGTTAGCCAACTGCTTAATGCTCATGGCAATTAAATTTTAAGCCTAAATGAGAAACAAAATAACAAATTCATTGTACAGCCAGTCTGGAAGAAATAATGTTTATTAGGCTTTTGAGGAAATCATTTCAAAGTACTTCCACAAACAGGCAACTGTCTCCGAAACAAGGTGAAATGCTTTATGCAATTCCATTCGCAATGACTGGCATCAAAAGAGAAAAGAAAAAGAAAAAAAATACTTGCTTCAAACCTTCAGATGTGGCAACAACATAGGTGTAAGAGTTCTGAATAATAACTGATAAAAGAAGGGCAACCTCAACATCTTATATAGTATTTAAACTATGTGAAAAGAAGTAGACTCTCCGCTAGAAAGTCATGTTGATACTTTCCAAGATTCAGTTTTCATAAATAAAATTAAATTTGAATGGATAAGAAATGACATTTAGCCTCAAGCAAAAGCAAAAACTTGCAGTACATCAACTGTAGAAGTTCAGAGAACTTGGAAGGATATTTTTACTTGAAAAGAAATATCCAGACAGGTTTTTATCTAGATTACACAATTGAAAAGACAACTGTACTTGAAAATTCACAAAAACTTTATGAAGTAAATTAACATTGGTATTTAGAGAGAAAAAGAGAGGAGACAACGAACTCGTTTACAAGTCATAACCTCGTGATCTAAACTTGTGACAGTGCAGATCTTACTAATTATGGAATAAAATATCAGTTACGTACATATTATACAGATTTACAATAACAAGTATGATAATGTTCTAAGGCAGAGGAGAACAAAATCATATCCACAGAAACCTTAGATACTTAACATAGGTGAAAAAAACATATAAAGAATGGCTAACATGAAAAAATAACACAGTGATTCATGGGATATGACACTCAGCCTGAATTTTTATACTGTGACAACTAGATTCCACCAAAACAGAAGATGATACCAGATCGGGTGACTCACGTCTCTCTAAACCTAGCCTCAAACCCTAGTAAAGCGGATGAGATAGCAGCTTCAGAAACCCTAAGATGTTATATTATGCACCTATTCAATCCCTTTTCACAAAATATTACAAATATTGGTGATCAGAAATATAGCGGACTGGATCAAGAAGAAACAATTGCAGAATTTTACCAGTTGGGCCAAGTTTGGGTTTATCCTCCACGGATGTGCCTTCCAAAAGGAAGTTGATAGAATTTAATATGACATTCTTATAGAAGTATTGGAGATATACACATCAAAACTCCAGCATGGTTCATATCATAAGCCATATATACTGTGTATCTATGACAAGCTCCACTTGGTCAAAGATAGTCTAGAAGATATAGGTTTATAATATCTAATGGCATGTGCTTTTCTATTAGTTGTCATTTGTTAATGCTCAATGAAAATTTTGCTCAACTGATTCCTCATCGAGCTGTGGAGTTATAAAACATGGAGGAAAAAAATTAAAGGAACCCAGAAAATACAGAATTTTTAACTACGAAGGAAAAGTAAACAAACGTTTAAGTTCTGCTAACCCTACCTTACTGCTAGTGAACAGTTGTTCTTCACCCCTCTCATTCCTCCATGAAATAACTTGGCCGCCGAACAAGCTAACCTGAATTGCCGAGACAAAATTATCAGATAAAGCAAAACAAGGACTAGCATATATAAAAATCTAAAACTCAATGCTTCCAAGCAACAGGGGAGAGACAACGGGTTAGTATATACTTATGATACCTAATAGCAAAACTAACAACTAACAAAAAAACACAAGGTTGAGAATCTAACCCTTGCAGAAGCACCTCTTGGCACTCTCAAAACAACTTGATCAATGCCATTCCAGTCTTTAGTAACTTCAAATTCCGATCTCTGATCCCAAACAGTCACTGAATGACCCATCTCAGAAACTCAAAGAATCACTAGGCACAACAAAGGGAAAACCTATTCTCTTCTTCTTGTTGTTCTTCCTCTTACTTTACGCGGCCAGCAAATAAATAAAACTAATCTCGAATAGTCATTGTTGAACAGTTGGGAATTTGATCTGCCCCCAACACTTTTCTTGTGACTCCATAAACTATATCATGTGAATCCCTACTGAAAGCCACATCTACCATCCAACTCCCCAAACACCTTCAAACAAAATCAAACCTTTCCATCCCACACAAGAAGCATTAATGGGATTGCTAGAAATAGGCTGGTTCCAAAGAAATAGTCATAAAAGCACAATCCTAGAAAGAAACTTTAGCTAAAAAATAACCTAAAACCATCCCCTCAAGACCCATCAGATCTCCCATGCTCGCATTTAAGGGAAATCCCTGATCTAAAATCCCAATCCTTGCTCCTTTACTGTTAAAGGAGTAACAGCCCAAAATTTAATGCTAAATCAATTACAAGTCATAAAAGAACCACTGGTTCTAGATTGATGATCTCACACAAAGGGAACTCCTAAATTGCCTTAAAAACCTTATCTTTGTACCACCAATCTCTGCAGATTTGGATAAAAGGGAATATACCAGATGCAGGAAAAACAGTGGAATAATGATTTCAGAAGAAGAAGGGCTTTTAGTAGAGCCCAAGAACTGGAGCAAACACTTGCAGTATAAACTACCAAAAAAAATACTCTCAATAAATGATTTTTTTAGCAAAACTCTGACACTGGCATTTAAAAACTACTAAGTACAGAAAATAAAGGGGGAAACTCAAACTTACATCCGAATCTATCAATTCTACAGCTTTACTGAAGGAACGAAAAAACAACCCATTTTCATTTTCATATCAGAATGATAATAGATCTCACAAACCTTAAAAAAATCAAAACTAATTGGAAGTTTGCTTATTTCCTAATTGCCTGCATCCCAATGCACTGACTTGTAACAAACTAAACTAGAATCAAACCTAACTTCCACAGGAATTCTCCTTTTTCTCTCACGAGCATTGTCAGCAAAAGGAGACAATCAAGCACTCAAACCCTAATTTGGACCATTAAAGTTCAAATTTTTACTGAACCCACTTCCACTATTTCGGCCAATATCCACAAAGGATAAAAGAGGAGGCAGCGGTTAGGAGGAGACCATAGAAAAATCTTTTGAAAAAAAATGGGAGGAAAGTTTAAAAAAAAAGGTATGCTTCTTTCCTAATTTTCCTTCTGGGTGCTTCGTGAATGGAAAATTACACGCGAGCCCTGAGATTAGTCACGAGCAAAATTACGCGATGAAATGCAATTTGCACCGAAAGCTCTTATTAACATTTTGACTAAATGTTTGGATGTTGGAAAATTTATCGAAAATGAATTAAGAATTAGAAAATGACTCTAAGCTAAACAAGAGATAAGGATTACTTGAAAGTGAATCCAAAAAGAATGAAAATGAAACTTGTATTATCTAATTCAGTAGTCTTTTACTTTCACCTTTTGTTTTTAAAAGTAGCTTTTTCCCTCCCCTTTTTTTATAGATTTCCAAACTGAGTTGGATCAAAGGTAAATAGGTAATCCTATTAGAGCTCATCCCTCTCAAGCTCAAAGAAAGAACCTCAATATGATTTTGTCGATTAAATCATTTTTGAATATACATAATTGCTAAATTTTTACAGGGCTTTATTGTGCTTAAATTGTTATGCGCGGAAGCCACCAATCAATGTGCTTTGAGGAACCAAACACAAACGCAGAGAGAGACAAGCAAACAATGAAAAATAACGGCACAAACACAAACAACTAATTTTTCGGCCAGTTGCCTACGTCCACGGGGCAAGAAGGGGATGGGTTTTCACTAATAGAGAATGAGAGTACAAACTAACATTATAAATCACTCGAACAAACCCAAAAAATCTTTAATTCTCTCCAAACAAAACCCTAACCAATAGCTCAGAAAGATCTCTCTTTTCTATGCTCAAAAATATCCCCTTGACTCCGCCAAAGAAACCCTAAAACGTGTTGGTATTCATACCAAACACCAAACCAATTCAAAACAGGAAACAACTCAACCTGGGCCTGACCCGACTGGCGGTCGACCGCCACAAGCTCGCGTCGACCGCGATCAAACGACAGAACCAGAAAAATGCCTACAGGGTATGGCGGCGGTACCGCACTAAGTCCAGACTCGATTCTAGGGTATGTACATGAATTCGGTCGACCGGTATTACACCGCAGTCGATCGAACAACTCCAAAACTGTTCCCTTGTGTCCAAAACCTGTTCTTCACCAAATCTTTCGCCAATTCTACAATTCTCCACATCAGCAAAGTTTTTCCAAAACTGAGTCGACACTAATACAAACCAAACGTCTCGCTTGTTGCGTCCAGTACGAAGTGGAATAAATTCACGATAACGGACTCAATCCATAACAAGTCGAGACCCAAATGAGAATGTGACCACTCTCCAAACATCGTGTCTACTAACCAAACCAACTGCATCATAAATGACTGCCTACGTATCCTCTTGCTCAAGGAATCAAGTATTCATGTAGTTCCCCAATGGCCTCCAAAGGCCCTCAATCAACTAGAAGAGTTCTCAACTCTTCTCCAACATCACCAACAAATATATAATTGATAGCTCTCGCAATGGCCCCAAAGTGAAACAAACCAAACACCTACACCTGAGGTGAACTAACGACCATATCCAAATCCAAATTATGTCCACCAGCTACACTCGAATCAACCAACTCATTATCTGTATCCATATCAATATGATCCTTAAACTGTTTCACATCAGCTGGAATCCCAAACGATGCAATATGATATTGAGTATGTGGAGTAATCTCCACACAACGTGGAGTAGTATCACTCACCACCTGCTGTGATATCCTAATGATCTATCTAATACTCTCCATCTGCCGAGAGTCAAATGTGACATACATACTCAGAGCAAAAATCAGAAGATAATATCTGATAATCAAACACGCATCTGAATCCCAAATGTGCACTCGGATCAAATCTCACGTTCTCGATGTGACCATATGCTGGGCCACCAAACATCCGAAGCAACTCAATATCTGAAGCAGCTCTATCAAATCTAAAATCTCTAAACGCAGCAGTCGGTAACCTATGACTAAGATGATCTAAATATGTCGAAGCCCGAACATTAAAATCAATGCTCGACATCAAACGTCGATCCTCCTCCAGTAAGGAATGATCCATCAAAACTGTCATCTCATCTCATCATCCTAGTTCTTCCTCTCTAATAAAGTGTCTCAAATTACCATGAGCTCGACACAAATGCAGAAAAGAACCTCTACCAAAAAAAGAACAACATGTTATCTTTCTGCCAATACACTTCCTCCATTTGTTGTTGACTACTAGGACTTCATACCAACGAGACTTGGTTACAACCCATAAATACCTAGAACAGTTCCCAACATAGAAAACCAAATACCGATTACCTCCCAATGATGCCTCCTTGGAAGGCCCCAAAATATCTGAATGAACACCACCTAGAAGACCTTTCGCTCAGTGAATAGAAGTACCAAACTCCACATCGGTCTTCTTGCTCATACTAATGTGCTCACAGGACTTTAAATTGTAGGTCAAAGCATCTCTCTATAAACCAAAATTGTTCGTGTCATTAAACTTCTCCACATCTATCTTCATAGAGTGAATACTTAAAATTTGGACAGTCTTCACGCCATAAGTACCCTCCACAACACCTTCTTTCTCGGTCATCTTTCTCAAAGCACCAACAAACCAATGTAGAACAAACGAAGAATAGATCCAAACTAAAAAAAGAGATTTTTTTACCTCCAACTGAAACCCTAACAAGGGCTTCCA